AATCGTCTTCTCATCGCGCAAGAGATCATCGAACGTCTTCTCCTCGCACAGGGGATCCATAATCGTCTTCTCCTCGCACAGGAGATCCAGCTTTTTTGATGAAGTCGATGACAAGGTCATTTAAAATTTAATCGTGCAGAAATTCTTTGGGATTCTCAAGTGAAGCAGAAAATTTGATGTGGTTCGCTTCTTTGAGTCATTCGATATTGTTATTTAGGTTTTTCTTCTGTTGCATATTTTACTGTTTGCGCACATGTCTCGCATGTGCGGCTGGATGGAAACCGACATCAATCGTGCTCGTTGCTACTGAGCTGTTGCATTCAGTATTCGTTCAGTCATGGCGAAGTTCCGATCCTTACAATGTTTCGCGATTGGCGTACTTAGATTTATTTGAAGTTGTGAATTTATTATTTACTGTTGTGTTTATTTAGGATATTTGTGTTTTCTATTTTCTTAATAAAAACAGAGATCTGTGTGTGAGTGAGTGTGCGGGTGGATGAAGATGTGAGAAAGATTGGTGTGAATGAGGGTGAGGATGCGGCTAGAAGCGGTGTGAGTAAGAGTCAAGACATGAGAAAGATTGGTATGGGTGATGATGAAAATGTGACTAGAACTGGCGTGCGTGTGAGTCAAGATATAGCTAGAATCGGTGTGGGTATATGTGTAAGAGTAGCTAGGATACGAGTGTGAGAAAAGATGCAGCTAGCATCTTTGTGGTTCAGCGTACAATGCGATTAGAATCGACGTGATTGAACGTGAGTATGTGTCCAGATTCAGTGTAGCTGTATTTTTGAATATAGCTGGAATGCAGGTGTGGATGAGGGTGATATTTTTCATATGATACTCACTATCAATTTCGGCTACACTCTCGTTCACCCTGATCCGTCTAGTATCTGCCTATCGTTGGGTAAAAAAATATCGAATGGAACACTATTAGTTTACATAAATTGATGGGTAAAACTTTCAAGATTCGCTAAAATCTGATGGCATGAAAATAGCTGCACGGTGTGCATGAGTTTCTGTTAGTTAATGATCACTAAATAATTCCCATTAATTATTTAGTATTCGTGCTCATCATAATAAAGATAAACATTATTAGTTTATACAGTGAAATTCGTTAAAACTAATGGATATTAGGTATTGTTCAGTAATGATAATTTGATATTAAATGAGAATGTCTATCATGTGTATAAAGTCATGTAAATGGTAGTTATACGTCTGTCATATTCGTGAGACTGATAAAGAGAACAATTGTAGATTCAATTTAATTTTTATACGCCTCAAAATTCATTCTACTAGTTCATGGTTTACAAGAGACATACAGATATGAGCAACTTGACAAAAATATTGACGTATAATCCCAGTGTAAAACTTTAGTCGAAAGATATAAACAAAGATCTGTTCTGATAGAATAAGAATATACATGCACGAGTGTAGCTGTGAGCTCATAGAAACAATGAGACAATTACAATAGTAGAATTTTAGCCGTATAGAATCAAAGAAATAAATATATAAATATTTAAATGTAAGAAGGTAAGTATATTAGTATATAGATTTATAGACATAAAAACAAAACTATAATTGCTTATAGGAATGCATAGAGTAGGCTAATTGGAGTTAAGTCTCTTGAATAGATAATCTGTGCAAAAACTGTACTTTTCGTAACAAAAGCTGCCGTTTTCAAGTCGCTTTTGAAGGCACTTGGTTTTTTTTGTTTTGTCCAAGAATTAGTCAAAGAAAAGTTATAGATATATAATTATTGTATAATTACCTTTCAGACATTACTTTTCACTAGTTTGATCCAAACTTCTTGTGGTTCAATTACTATCACTTCACGGATACTGAATTTCCTTTCAAGATGCTCACCAGGCACAGCCGAATACTCGTGAAGGAATCGTATTAATAGAGTTTTTATCTCGAGCAGTGCAAAACGCATGCCAACACAATGTCGTGGTCACCGTTTTAAATGGTAGAAAAGCCATTGGATGACGTTTTGCTTGATGACGCTCAGAGAAGAATACATGCGGATCTTCAGGATCTCAAAGTTCACGATCGAAATGGTTTGAATAAATATCAGCATGCCCCAAAGTACCTTGAAAAGATAAAAAACATGTCATTTAATAAAGTATTCTTTGATAAAACTTGTTATCGATTTGGTAAAAAAAACAACGGTAACTTCTTCTTCTTAATTTCATTCAAAAAAGTTTCCATAGTTTATGATTTAATTTTTATAGACTGTCTAACAGTTAAGAAAAAGATGGAAAGCTTTCATACTATAAAATATATAGTTACCTTTTTCAATTAAGATTCCTTGTACGATCGTGGCTTCAAAGGCATATCGTTCAATTGCTGCATTAACAATAAGATGCATTCTTAAGATCTCGAAAACGAACATAACCATATAAGACATCTGCGCGGCTATCTCATAATCTAGATATTTATAATTTGCTTCTTCGTTGGAGTCATTATTATTGTCCAATGGAAGCTGGTCAATTTCATCCGAAAATTTCTGAAGCATTTCAGGATGTTTGGCAAGTACATATGTTGCATACGCCAGTGTAGTTGATGTTGTTTCATATCCTGCCGTCATATACACAAGAATGTAGTTGAAAACTTCTCTGTGAGTTAGTCAATAGTCTGCATTGTTGCTGTCTGATATTTCATCCTAGATGAGAAATGTCCTGATAGTGTAGTGTCACAAAAATATTACATTTTCCTTTACAACTTAGAGACTTAATAATATAATAAAGTTTACTTATATCACATGACAGGTTATGAAAACGAATTTTAAAAGTATAATTAGCTGTTTACAACGGCGACACTGGGCTATAGAAATACGATAGGTTTCAGATCTTAGTCATGCAAATTGTATTCTTTTATAATCGGTCAATTCAAATAATATCAAGTTCATGAAAATATCTTTTATTTATAGAACTTTTATACGACTTTTTATTAATCATTTTACTTTGAAAAGCTTAAGACCGTTATTCATTCACGTAACTTAAAATTTGTTTGTACAAACTACAGATTATTAAGAACTTTTATTTGAACTGTACTTTTTCGTATAAATTCAAATAAAAATTTCACAATAATTTCCCCCTGATTTAAAATTTTTCAAAATGATATACATGTAGATGTGTTTATGCATCAAATTTAGCATCCATTTCAAGACCTAGAGATCTGTCTCAAATTCCTGCAGCGAATATCAGGAAGAAAAATTTGAATTTGCTGCTAACATTACTTATATATAATGAATTTATATTCGAGTAAACAAGTCTCAAATCACATAAATAATTTTTATTTTATTTTTGAGAGCAAAAGATATTTTTCCACAGTCACATGTATAGTTGATAGATTAATCTAAAATCATTATTAAAAAAGATTTTGAAATTGATTTCATCTTAAAACTTATTAATTTTGCTTAATATTTATCAACTTTAACTAATTAGAATTGGATAATAAACATTTTTTGCTGTTCATAAAAATATCTCAAATTATTTATTCAATCATTTTCTTATCAAATTCTATTTTCACTTGTTAATATGGATCAAAAAGTAAAAAAGAATAAACTCACACCTTCAAATTTGAAAATAATTTACAAATAACTTTACTGATTTGAAAATAACAAATAATTAATTTTTCTGAAAACAGAACAAATTAAAATTAAAAATATTTAAACAAACACTTTTTATTCAAAGATGAAAACAAAGAAAACGTTAAATTTATTTTATCTAAAAATGAAAAGACAATTTTTATTTCAAAAAAATCTTTCAAAATTTTTTTTTGTTTTTATTGATTTCATTTTGACAAATTATTTTTTCTTCAAGCTTCCAATCAACAAAAACCACAAAAAAGAAATTCGAAGATGATAAAATTTGTTAATTTATTGGAAAAAATATCTTCTCAATAGTTGTTTTGTTCAACAAAATTCATTTCCAATCTAATTTTATTATCAATCTTCCGTAAAACAGTTCTCAAATTTTATTAAATTGAAAAAAACAAAAAATGTTTTACTGTTTTTAATTCGTACTTTAATTCAATTCAAATTAAAAAATATTTTCTTCTCTTTTCTTGTGCAAAATTCGATAAAAATCAACAAAGGATGAAGGATTTGATATTTATTTATGAATGATATCACAATACCATTACACCGAATAATCGTATTCAAACAGCAGCATGTTTCTTTAAGAACTCGAGCAATTTGAGTGAATTTGATCATTACGCAACGGATAACGACACCCACACCCTCAAGATTGAAGTGATATCTATAGACAGATACAGCTTTAAATTATTAATTTAACAAGCAGATATAATAAATTGTTCAACACTCAATTTTATACTGATCAATAAATCAAACTGATCATTTAAAAACAACGCGAAGAAAATTCTAATCGTTTACATTAAACGAAAAAGTGTAAGCATGTTCTGGTTGACGGCACTTTAAGAGAGAAAAATACCTCAGTCAGAATAAAGCAATGATGCGCTTGATTAGCTACGTAAAAATACGTCCTTTAGAAAGGAAAAAATGAAAAAAACGAGTTAATACTCTTTTCTTCCTGCAAAACGATATCGTTTTCTGGTTGAATGCGCAATTTCTTACATCAATCCTATAAAAAGCAGCTCATTTTCTGTTAGTCGATACTTTTACTCTAACCATCATCCAACGCCGAACAGATGCAGTCAACTTCCGTTGTCATACTAATTGCGACTCTTCTTGCGATTGTTGCTGTGCAGTATTTGGAAGCAAATGCTCACTCTTTTGGTAACATGCGTCATCTCGGTTTTGATAATAATAAATACAAGCGTATACTAATGGATCTCTCTTCGCGACGTGTCAATAAACATCAAGACGAATACGGAGATCTGGCTGAGTTAGCTCGAGACATATTCGGGGAACGTGGGAGCGCAGGTAAGATTCTTCGACTCATAGAGACACTTCTTTCCTTTGACAAAATTTATTAATGAATAATGTTAATAGTTATAAGAATTACTAATTTGGCGTTTTAGTTTTGTACATTTAACTGGTGTCTCAAGGATGAAAAATTGAGAGATGAACAAAAGAAATAATCAAATTAATTCCGTTTTGCACTATTACTAATTTTTTATCTATCTGCATTAGTTTTACTATAATAGAATTTCTAAATAAAGAAACGAACCTTTACGAAAAGTATTTCATATTCATCTGCTTCCATTCGTATTGAATTACATAAATCAATGAAAAGTTTTCATAAAAGAATCGCTACTCTATATTTCTTTTATTTTCTTACAGTCTTCTTCTTCCTTTAGATCCATGCCAAACAAATAATGGTGGATGTGATTCTAATGCTGTTTGTTCGTATGATTCAACAAAAAATTCAGTCAAATGTACTTGCAAAACTGGCTATGGATATACAGCTTGTGGTGGATCTGTATGCACAGGTAAATAGTCTAGTTAGAATGGATAATCTAATGTATTTCTTACGAACCGAAAAATATTCGTATGCAAAGCCAAACAATGGTTTCGAAAACTAAAACAAATGCAAAATTTTTTCGAAATTGCTAGTCAAAGTTTTGTATAGTAGTCTGTAGAACTAGGTTTTTGTAGACTTTTTCTCTATACTTATCTTCATCGAACTATATGTATGTCTAACCATATTGTAAACTTATATATGAATCCATACCTCTGTCGAAATTCTAGCACTCTTGCCTAATATAACAGACGAAAACTACAACATCGCTGATATTTCACTTATACTTCACAGAACTCCATTCACACATTAGTCTACGTCGAAATTAATCGAGGCACGAATAACGCACCGTTGACGGATGTGGATGTGGATATCACATTAACGTTACTCTGGCACTCTCATCCTCATTCGCACCCATATCCACATCCAAAGATCGTTTATGTAAATTTTCAAGTTGAGTAGTACAAAAGGTCTCTGTGGCCGACTAGCTATATTTAAGTAGTTTTTTATCCAAAGATTTCGAGGAAGAGACAAATGACTTGTATAGCTATCTGTCCTCTAGCTTTCAAGAAACGAAATTGATTTATCAATACATGCTTATTCTTTTATAGCGGTGTGTACAACTCTTTGTCAAAATGGTGGTGTTTGTAGTGCTCCAAATACATGCAAATGTGCGTCGGGATGGACTGATGCAACATGCTCAACACGTAAGTAACTTCTGAGTCTTTGATATGTTGATGATTCGTATTCTTTCTATCAGCTATTTGCTCAAATTCATGCAAAAATGGTGGTCAATGTACTGCTCCAAATAAGTGCACCTGTACAGGAGGATATGGAGGCTTGTCATGTGAAATACGTATGTATTAATCTTACATCAAATATAGATTTGCGAAAAACAGTTATATGATCAAAATAGCTATCGTCAAGGTTCCGTCATATCATTTTGTCATTAAGGCTTATTGATATGCTTGTCGCAGCATATAATTTTTGTGAAACACCAACTGAGAGAAAGTGTTGAAATGTAAAGGAACAGACATTTGCATCCAAAATCTCATTTCTCTTCACGTGCAGTGGTGAGCATATCATCATAGACATGATCGACACAGACGATCTATAAATCTTCTTTAGTAGTCACAGTTCGTAGCGTCAGCAATAGTCTTATGATAAAAGACGAGCGAAATAACAGTCTTGTATCATTAATATGACTGAATTTTTGAATCAAGTAAAGTATAGATAACACCAGCCGAAGATTAAGTCATATTTTTCCTGTCAGCAACAAACACTTAGGTCGTGTTTCACACTTTTATCTCACACGAATTACATCAGCAACTTTTTGTAGCAATGCTCGCTCATTTGACTGTATAAGGAATCACCCAGACGATAATGTTTACCAAACTTATCGTAATTGATGAATAGGCTTCAAAAAAAGTTTGTGTACGAAATCTTCTTTAAATAACAGGAGTAAACGTTTCGTACAAACGGTTTTCTTATTAAATTATTTTAGTAGAGAGCGGCAAATCTTAAACTGGTACAGATTTTAATATTTATATGCGAAAGTTATTTGTCATTTCAATTCCTCAAAATTTTAAAAATTTTGAGAATTGATTGACGGTTTCGTACGAGTATAGATCAGAAACTGACTTACAGTAGATATTCTTTAAAGCGTACCGGAAATTAGAGATCTTAAAGTATGGATAACCAGTAATATTTTAAGATTTATCATGCTCTTGAATAAGAGCAGTAGTATAATTGTTAGAAAATATTCTTCCAATGTTCAGTGGTAGAGAGAAGAGTCTTAATGGAAAAGTTTAGCTATATAAAAGAACATTGTGATAGGAAGAAGAATTTCCTAACATATACTATTGGTTTCGAGACGGTGCGCATAGTGTGTTAGTGTATATATTATAATTATCTCTCACGTGCACGTACAACCTCGAGCAAAAAACGCCGAAAGGCAAAATTTTATGTAATTTAATTACTGGGAATCGATATTTTATAAATTTGTATTTTAGCACCTTGTGATGCTGCTCACTGCTGTAGCTCTTGTGTTTCCTGTAATAATGCTGGTACTATTAGTTATTGTCGTCCAATTTCTCTTGGTGCTCATACTGATGCTAAGGGTGTTTATTATGGTGGTGCTCCTTATGGTGCTTATTTTGGTGTTTTTAGTGATGCTACTTGTCCTAGTGGTGGTGCTACGGGTCCTACTCCTAGTTGTCATTGAGACAGTATTATGGATTCGTCGCGTTTTGATTAACAACGAAAAAGACATCTCAAACGCAATATAAGACTTATTTGTGACGTTTCATTTTTTTAATAATTATTATTTATTTAGTTGTATTTTTATAATAACTTTTATTTAATCAATTTCTTTAATTTTTTCTACTAACTCATCTTTGCAGTTCTGTAATACTTATGCCATTTTCTTGTTCAATAACTATACTTTACAAAGAGCTTATGAAATCAATAAAATAATTTCTACAACTAGCGCTTTTAACCCTTTGAGTCCCGGTGGGACATATATGTCCTACCTAGCGAAAAATTCTAGTTTTTAAAAAATTTCGAATATATTTAACAAATGCCGTAGTATAGACATATTTGTGCGAGAGAAAAAACTCTACTGAGTTATTTTTTAGGCTCCCGTTGGTACACCTCCAAGGAAGTGGGTAAAATATTTCTCATCATTCTCGTAGGGGGGTACGGCTAAAAGTTAAAAATGACTTAAAATATTTTTTTAAAGTATCGATGGAAGTGTCGATAATACTCCATGCTCATAAAAAATATCAAGTTTTTAAGAGGTTTCGTCCATAAAATAAATTGTGGGTCTCAAAGGGTTAAGGTGGTTGAGGGCGTAATTATATTGTTCATCGACAGCTCTTTTGTCGGTACGCAGTTGATCGACAAACCTTCATCGAAAAATTTTCGTCGACACAGCATATTAAAAACTTGATCATAATATGGTCTTCTGTTTTTTTAATGTAAAACCCGTATACTATCAATATTAAACATTTTTTGAACAATACTAACAAATGTATATGAAAGCACAAGAAGAACAATATAGAAAAAAAAAATAGATATGCTAAAGAACCATACATTTTGTTTATTACGTTGTCTTTGCAATCAGAAGTGGAAGGCCATCAAGATAATCAGTGTATGTATTTTCTTTTTTTTGTTATACCGATCGGTTAATGTTTCGAGACATTCTTGAATTCGAGAAGTCTTTTTGCAATCTTCTTTTTTTCCTATTTTCACATGCTGTACGTTTTTGTTGAGGGTGTGTGTGAGAACAGCTATCAAGACCGATTTCGTTCTTGCTCAAGGAGCTCATTAGTAGGCAAATAATCTATATAAATGTCGAAGACCACAAAATGAATTGATAATAGACATGTATATAGAATAAGTCAATATATGTTGATAAAATTCTATTGCTAATGTTTGAAGAGCTAGCATAATCTATTGATTTCGCTTTGTGTCTTGCAATTATACGTTATTCATTTGTTCTGTCAGAGATTTGAGTATCTAGAAAAGTAAAGAAACAGTTTTATAACAGAATTTCAATGATTAATGAAGTTTAAACAATCTTTTTTTTCCTGATTAGTGTATAGTCTATGATAGTAAATGGAATAAAGATGTCACAATGGAAGATAGGAGGCAAATAGTTTGTTGTAAAGTTTCTTATTTTTGTTTGTCTTCATTTATTAGTAATCAAGAGAGTGAACATTTGCTTTGTTGCGTAGTTGGAAGTATTCGATTTAATCATTTTTTTTGCTTCTGGTTTTGTTTTCCAATATGATGAAACGGGAGAAGAAAAGTATTAATTTGTAGTATGTGATAATAATCATGATAGTTTTGAGTTAGACTTACTTTGATTTACTATATTCTTCAACAATACTTGTTTAGGGCGTTTCCATAGACTTGATGCATATCGTGTTTGAATGTTTCGAACCGTTTTTCGTGGTTATAATGAATAAATAGTATGTCATCGTTTTTAATTGATTTGGTGTTTGTTGTAGTTTTGAATTCAAATGTCTGTTCATCTGTTTGTTTGGGATTCCCGACTCTCGCCAATAAGACTTTTGACAACTGGACATTCGCCAATAGCGAAAGTACCATAGACTTTTGCCAATGGACGAAAAACCACAGGGTGTATTGGCGAAAATATAGCGGTCTTTCCCTAATTGGTAAAAGTCGTCGGTCCTTTTGGCGAAGTTACGCAGGACTCTCGCCAATTGGCGAATGTACACTGTTTTCATCAGCTAATGGAAAATTTTATTGAAGTTCTTGAGCGTGTAGGTACGCATCTAACATAATCTTCTATTCATCCGTACTCACACTGACCCTCAAGATGAGACTTTTACTGATGACATTTATGTGGATTTTCTCCAGTTGGCGAGTGGCCACGACGGTAGCGTAGAAAAGACAGTGGATATTCGCTAATTGGAGAAAATCTCAAGTATACATGGCGAGCGGCTAGTTAGTGGAAATCTTATTGGCGAGAGTTGGGTAAGCCGTCTGTACTATCTGGAAGACTTTGTAACGAAATATTACTTTGAATAAATACATTTGTCGTTTATAATTGACATAATATAATATAACGTTACGAATTTAAATAATATTTATTTAGATTAATCAAATAATAAACACATCCAATAAATGATAAGCTAATACCACCACAAAGAATAATATATAATAAAATGAATAAATATAAATACACACAAATATTGTAAAAAGAAGATAATGCTCTTATTAGTTTTCTATACAAAATGCTCTAACTCACTCACTAAAACTATGCTTCTCGTCTTACTCTTCTACTCCTCCTTTTATATCCACGTTCTCTCTCCCACACTCTCTCATAGAAGGCCGAAGTCTATTTCTATTATGTCTGCACTAAGAACCAAAGCTTATCTAAAAATGAGGTAACGTAGATATTTGAATATGAAAGGGGTATATAATATTTTAAAAAGAATGGGGACGTCCTTTTTTGAATACGAAAAAATATGGTCTATTAACACAGTAACTAGTAAGACCTAAAAAGGTTTGGACTTCTT